GATTTGGATTCATTTTTTTTTCTTCTCTGATTGCTGTGGCTAAAACTTCCAAAACTATGTTGAATTATAGTGGTGAGAGGGGCAACCTTGTCTTGCTCTAGATCTTAGTGGAAATGGTTTCAGTTTTTCACCAGTGAGAACAAAGTTGGCTGTGGCATACATGGCCTTTATTATGTTGAGGTAAGTTCCCTCTATGCTTACTTTCTGGAGAGTTTTTATCATTAATCAATTATCAAAAGTTCAAAATTTTGAATTTTGTCAAAAGCTTTTTCTTGTGAAAGCTTTTATCGAGATGATCATATGGTTTTTCTCCTTCAATTTGTTAATATGGTGTATCACATTGATTGATTTGTGTAAATTGAAAAATCCTTGCGTTCCTGGGATAAACCCCACTTGATCATGGTGTATGATCATTTTAATGTGCTGTTGGATTCTGTTTGCTAGTATTTTTTTGAGGATTTATGCATCTATGTTCATCAGTGATATTGGCCTGTAGTTTCCTTTTCTTGTGACATCTTTGTCTGGTTTTGCTATCAGGGTGATGGTGGCCTCATAGAATGAGTTTGGGAGTGTTCCTCCCTCTGCTATATTTTGGAAGAGTTTGAGAAGGATAGGTGTTAGCTCTTCTCTAAATGTTTGATAGAATTCGCCTGTGAAGCCATCTGGTCCTGGGCTTTTGTTTGTTGGAAGATTTTTAAATCACAGTTTCAATTTCAGTGCTTGTGATCAGTCTGTTCATTTTTTCTATTTCTTCCTGGTTCAGTCTCAGAAGGTTGTGCTTTTAAAGAATTTGTCCATTTTTTCCAGGTTGCCCATTTTACTGGCATAGAGTTGCTTGTAGTCATCCCTCATGATCCTTTGTATTTCTGCTGTGTCAGTTGTTATGTCTCCTTTTTCATTTCTAATTCTATTGATTTGAGTCTTCTCCCTTTTTCTCTTGATGAGTCTGGCTAATGGTTTATTAATTTTGTTTATGTTCTCAAAGAACCAGCTCTTAGTTTTTTTGATCTTAGCTATTGTTTCCTTCATTTCTTTTTCATTTATTTCTGATCTGATCTTTATGATTTCTTTCCTTCTTCTAAATTTGGGGTTTTTTTGTTCTTCTTTCTCTAACTGCTTCAGGTGTAAGGTTAGGTTGTTTATTTGAGATGTTTCTTGTTTTTTGAGGTAGGTATTGCTATAAACTTCCCTCTTAGAACTGCTTTTGCTGAATTCCTTAGGTTTTGGGTCCTCGTGTTTTCATTGTCATTTGTTTCTAGGTATTTTTTGATTTCCTCTTTGATTTCTTCAGTGATATCTTGGTTATTTAGTAGTATTGTTTAGCCTCCATGTATTTGTATTTTTCACAGATTTTTTTCTTGTAATTGATATTTAGTCTCATAGCGTTGTGGTCAGAAAAGATACATGATATGATTTCAATTTTCTTGAATTTGCCAAGGCTTGATTTGTGACCAAGATATAATCTATCCTGGAGAATGTTCCATGAACACTTGAGAAGAAAGTGTATTCTGTTGTTTTTGGATGGAATGTCCACATCTGCTGGTGTGTATTGGGGTGTCTGTGACTTTATTATGATTTTAGGCAGCCTTCCCACTAATGGGTAGGGTTGTGTTCCTGTCTTGCTAGTTGTTTGGCATAGGGTGTCCAGCACTGTAGCTTGCTGGTTGTTGAGTGTAGCTGGCTCTTCCTGTTGAGGTGGAGATCTCTGAGAGAGCTTTCGCCATTTGATATTACATGGGGCCAGGAGGTCTCTGGTGGACGAATGTCCTGAACTCGGCTCTCCCACCTCAGAGGCTCAGGCTTGACACCTGGACGGAGCACCAAGACCCTGTCAGCCACACAGCCATGTATGTGGGGAGTTTCTTGCCTTTTGGGAAGTCTGAGGTCTTCTGCCAGCGTTCAGTACATGTTCTGTAGGAGCTGTTCCTCATGTAAATGTATTTTTGATGTATTCGTGGAGAGGAAGGTGAGCTACATGCCTTACTCCTCCGCCATCCTGAAGCTATCTCTTAGAGAAGGATATTCTTATCTGAAAATATTTGTGTTTACAATCTAAAATTTAAAGTAATCTGAACTTGTACATTCTTTTTATAACTGAAATTCATAAAGGATATATAGCTGACTCTTGAACAACATGGGTTTGAGTTCTGTGGATCCATTTACATGTGGATTTTTTCCTACTCATTTTTTTGATCCACTGTTGGTTGAATCCTCAAATGCAGAGCCACAGATACAAAACAAGAGTGCATATGGAGGAAATGTTGCATCAGAGGAACCACAGATAGGGAGAACTGGGACACAGAGGGCCGACTATAACTTATTTTAACTATAACTTAATTTTAACTGTGCAGAGGGCAGCTCACCAAGCTTCTGTGTTGTTCATGTGTCAACTGTAGTTTTAGAGTCATCTTAAGGAAGTGATAGTAATATTTCACCCTTTTGAACCAAGTTATTATGATTGTTATAGCATAGTTAGTGGTACAAATGTTCTTTTTCTGGACTCTTTGTTATTTCAAACTTTTTATACTATTTCATATTAAATAAAAATTTTAAATTACAATGGAAATAAGATATAGGCTAAATAAGACAATAGACCCCGACCTCCCAAATTCAAAATACTTCTATTAATTTTTCATTTTGGAGGCTTACTTTCAACAAGAGAATTCTAGGAGACTCCAGTTTAAAAATGTGTGAATGTTTAATTATCTTTATGTGGATAAAGTAGAATACTAGCTAATAATAGCTAATATTCATTGAGCACTTAGTATATACGTACTTCACATATATTCCAAACTATATGTTAATCCTCACAACTCTATGAGGTAAGTACCACTGTAATCTTCCTTTTATAGATGAAGGGACTAAAGGACAGAAAGATTAAGGGACTTTCCCCACAATTACACACACTGTAGACCCAGGACATGAACTCAAGCAGTAGGACAACAAAAACCTCACTTTCTACCAGTATTCTATAATATTAAAATTCTACTGATTTTTCCAAGGGTGCTCTAATATAAAATGAAATTAACTAATATGCAAGCACTGTGTAAATGCAACAATTTGACATACTATTTTGAGAAACAGAGTACAAATATAAGAGAGCCTATCTGTATAATTTTGTTTCTAATATAGTTCGTTTATGTTATGACTATAACAATTATAGAGATTATAGAAGCTCAAGATACGTGAATCAAAAAAAAGTAGACTGCATACTGAAGTTGCATAGTGTGTAAAGTCATTATATGCTTGAATAAGATATTTAACTTCTTTAAATATCATAGGACTCAACTGTAAAATGGGATAACAGTACCTACCTCATATGATTCCTATGAGGATCAAATGAGATAACACATATAAAAGTACTGCTCAGAGCCTAGCACAAAATAAGCATATAATAAATCTTTATAAGTGATAATTACTGAAGGTGATAAATTCTAAGATAATCAACACTGGTAAAAAAACAGGAAAACGTATTATGCTTTAATAATTATTTACAACCTGCCTTAACAGAAAAAGAAGGATCTTCCATAGTTTTCCATTTTTATATCTTTCAAAATGGTTGTCTCTCTTCATTCAAAGTTCTTCTGCAAATTTTCATATTCATTTCCAAAATTCTTACATCTATCAGTAACAGTATTTCTAGTTAGAGTGTTATAAACTTCCCACTTTCAACCTCTAACTGCCTAAACAGCATCTTACTATTAATCTTTCTTATTAAGAAGTTCTGCAGCAGTCTAGCTTGTTACTGAACAAGGTAGTTTATTACTCAAAGGGTGACAATAATCAGGATATGACTTTAAATTTATAAGCATAGTCAAATTTCAAATTAATTGTGTACATGTGCATATACATGAGCAAAAGCAGCTTTTTTCTCTCTGAGAAGGTGGGTAAAGCTAGATTGTATTTTTGTCTTTGCAGTACCTGAGGAACAAGGGCAGAGTGTTGTTAAGGTGATTCAAAAGAAAACAGGGATAAAATTCAACTAACAAATAGAGGATTATTCTTCAAGGAAGACATACAGGGTTCTCAGACATTTGGCCAAGATCAAGTATAGAATATTATTCTAATTAGAATAGAAATTTCAGGTAAGGAAAGGATGATTAACTAAATCTAAGTTGTAACTGTAAAGCTCAGCAAGTTCCCATGGTTAGCACATAGGAAAAAGAGGATTTGAATTCAGGCAGTTTAACTCCAAAGAGTTCTTAATCACTGTGCTAATACCAAATTACATGGATCATTACCTTAAGAATTAGCATTTTCCTACCTGAAGATTAATTTAAAATCTATTATAACAAATATATTCTAACATTAAAAATGGCATGTTCATCTATTTTGAATACTTTTACCCTTAATCTTAAAATACCACTTTTTACATAGGGAGTTGCTTTGCAATTTTCTATAGCAATGAAAAACATAATTTATAATTCTCATAAATATATAAATTGGCAATTATTATTATGGAGCACTGAGGGAAGAAAAAATCTATTTCTCTCATTGGCTCAGAAGCAGCCACTAAAATAAAAAGCTATAATTTCCAAGACTGTTTGCTTTCCTGCTGACATTAGTGAGGCTGGGGCACAAAGCAGGAAGTATACCAGAGCCATTTCACCTTCTGCTTTCAGGAGAACACAGAATGCCAAATAGAAAAGGACCATATTAGGGAAAACACTTTATTTCCAAGTTTCTAAAATAGTATTAAAAACAATAAGGGAAAAATGCAAATTATAAAGTAGTATGATGGCACATCAATCACAACTTCCTAACAGCCCTTTCAGCATTCAGTGGTAATTGCTGAAACACTGAAATAAAGTGATGTTTCAATTATTTCATTTTAAACAATGACAGGTTTAAGAGTCACCTGATTAAAAACCATCCACACCAATATACTAGCATATCATAAGATAACTGGCTAACAGTTTTTGCAAATGGCAGTTGTTAACATATTTATTCTACACATATAAATGTTGTGCTGAGGAGGGGAGTAAGATGTTCTTTTTTACCTTTCTTTTATGATGAGTTGTAGAAGCATCCATCTCTTCCTCTCCTATATTATCAATTTGTGAAGTTGGACTACAATTCATTCTCTCCTCTTCTTGCCTCTGGAGTCTGTCTGCTACAGCCTGGATAGCTTCTGTCCATTCTTCCCTACAAAAACAAGAAAAAATTCCCATTAATAAAGAATCGTAATGATGCAAATATTTCTCTTTTATAAAATATCAAATCAACACAAAGTCTATTCCAGAGTAATACATAAGCCCCATCTTTACTTCAAGATATACTAACATTTATTTGGAGGTATATTAACAAAGAAGAAGGAGGAGGAGGAGGGGGAGGAGAAGGGGAGACGGAGAAGACGATTGTAAGGAAACTGACTAAAAATCCTTTTAAAGTATGGTTAAATTTTAATTCTCTGCACACATCTTATCTATAAAGTATATGAACCCCCAAAACTTTGCCACACTTTTAAAATGTATTGTTTAGCCATTGTAAGTCCATCACTGACATACTCAGTTTCTTTATTATGGTCCAACAGATGTTCCAAGAAAAAGCTTTCAAAGGCAAAAACTGTTACCAGATCATAGGTAAGTTTCTGTTTTAAAAAATGATAGGCACAGTTTGTAGCTTAAATAATAAATCTCAGGAGCAGTAGTATGAAGCTTTTACTTTTTGACACTTGTGCTATCAGATAAAGGATCATTTATTTCCATAGAAATAAAATCAGTTTGCAGATTTCTTAAGACAAAGTCTGTTAGAATTGCATTAAATCTGTAGGTCAATCTGGAGGAAATTGCCATCTTAATAAACTAAGTCTTCCAATCCATGAACATAGTATAGCTCTCCATTTATTTAGGTCTTCAATTTTCTAATGCAGTGTTTTGTAATTTTCTGTGAAAATGTCTTGCAAATCTTTAATTGAATTTATTTCTAAGTATTCTTTTATGCTATTATGGAAGTATAAATTTTTTTTCATTTTCTAATTTTTCTTGCTAGTATTTAGAAATACAATTGCTTTTTCTATGTTGACCTTTTATTCTATAGCCTTAATAATTTCATTTACTATTTCTACCAGCTTTTATTTTTCTGAATTTTCTACAAATACTACCATACTGTCTACAAATAAGAGCAATTTACTTCTTCCTTTCCAGTGTGTTTCCCTTTCATTTCTTTCTCTTGCCTTATAATGCACTAGAACAGACCATCAGTACAATGTTAAATAAAAGTGGTGACAGCAGACATTCTTTGTTCCACATGTTAAGAGAGAAAATATCAAGCCTTTTACCTTTGAGTATTATTAACCTGTAGTTTGTAGATAACCTTAATCAAGTTGAGTAAGTTCCTTTCCATTCCTAGCCAGCTGAGTGTTTTTGTTATGAAAGAGTGTTGAATTTTTTCAAATGCTTCTTCTGCACCTGTTGAAATGACCATGTAGTTTTCTTTTATCCTATTAATACAGTGAAATTAGTTGAATGATTTTCAGATGTTAATACAACTGAATTCTAGTATAAACTCCATTTAGTCATAATGTATTAACTTTTTCTTGCATATTTTTTGAATTTGATTTGTCAAACTTTTGTTAAGAAATTTTGCATTGACTATAGTCACAAGTACATTGGGCTACTTCTTCTTTTTTTAAATCAATATTTTTAGTGAACTATACTTGATTTACAATGCTAATTTTGCTGTATAGCAAAGTAATACAGTTAAATATATATACATGCTTTTTTTAAATGTATTCTTTTCCTTTATGGTTTATGATAGGATATTGAACATAGTTCCCTGTGCTATATAGTAGGACTTTGTTGTTTCTCCATTCTATATATAAAAGCTTACATCTGCTAACCCCAACCTGCCATTCTATCGCTCCCCCAACTCCCTCTCCCTTGGCAACCACCAGTCTGTTCTCTAGGTCTAAGATTCTGTTTTTGTTTCATAGATAGGTTCATTTGTGTCATATTTTAGATTCCACATATAAGCGATATCATATTTTGTCTTTCTCTTTCTGACTTACTTCACTTAGTATGATAATCTCTAGTTGCATCCATGTTGCTGCAAATGGCATTATTTCATTCTTTTCCATGGCTGAGTAGTATTCCATTGTATATATGTACCACATCTTTATTCATTCATCTGTCGATGGGTATTTAGGTTGTTTCTATGTTTTAGCTATTGTGAATACAGCTGCTATGAACATAGGGGCACATGGCTTTCTGAATTATACTTTTTTTTTTTTTTGGCAGTACATGAGCCTCTCACTGTTGTGGCCTCTCCCATTGTGGAGCACAGGCTCCGGACATGCAGGCTCAGCGGCCGTGGCTCATGGGTAGCCGCTCCGTGGCATGTGGGATCTTCCCGGACCGGGGCACAAACCCGTGTCCCCTGCATCAGCAGGTGGACTCTCAACCACTACGCCACCAGGGAAGCCCTGAATTATACTTTTGTATGAATATATGCCCAGGAGTGGGATTGCTGGATCATATGCTAATTCTGTTTGTAGATTTCTGAGATACCTCCATACCGTTTTCCACAGTGGCTGCACCAACTTACATTCCCAACAACAATGTAGGAGGGTTCCCTTTCCTCCACACCCTCTCCAGCATTTGTTATTTGTAACTTTTTAATGATGGACATTCTGACTGGTGTGAGGTGGTACCTCATTGCAGTTTTGATTTGCATTCTCTAATAGCAATGTTGAGCATCTTTTCACATGCCTATTGGTCATCTATATTTGTTCTTTGGAGAAATCTCTATTTACGTCTTCTGCCCATTATTTGACTAGGCTGTTTGTTTTGTTGTTGTTATGAGCTGTTTGTATATTTTGGAAGTTAAGCTCTTGTTGGTTGCAATATTTGAAAATATTTTCTCCCATTCTTGTAAGTTGTCTTTTCGTTTTGTTTATCGTTTCCTATGCTGTGCAAAAGCTTGTAAGTTTGATTAGGTCTCATTTGTTTATTTTTGTTTTTATTTCTATTGCCTTAGGAGACTGACCTAAGAAAACAATGTTAAGATTTACGTCAGAGAATGTTTAGCCTATGATCTCTTCTAGGAGTTTTATGGCGTCATTTCTTATGTTTAAGTCTTTAAGCCATTTTGAGTTTATTTTTGTGTATGGTGAGAGGATGTGTTCTAATTTCATTGATTTATATGCGGCTGTCCAACTTTCACAACACCACTTGCTGAAGAGATTGTCTTTTCCCTGTTGTATATTCTTGCCCCCTTTGTTGAAGATTAATTGACAACTGGTGTGTGGGTTTATTTCTGGGCTCTCTGTACTGTTCCATTGATCCATATGTCTGATTTTGTGCCAATACCACACTGTTTTGATAACTGTAGCTTTGTAGTATTGTCTGAAGTCTGGGAGGGTTATGCCTCCTGCTTTGTTCTTTTTCTTCAGGATTGCTTTGGTCATTCTGGGTCTTTTATGGTTCCATATGAATTTTAGGATTATTTGTTCTAGTTCTGTGAAAAATGTCATGGGTAATTTGATAGGGATTGCATCAAATCTGTAGATTGCTTTGAGTAGTATAGCCATTTTAACAATATTAATTCTTCCAATCCAAGAGCATGGGATATCTTTCCATTTCTTTGAATTATCTTCAATTTCCCTTATTAATGTTTTGTAGTTCTCAGTGTATAAGTCTTTCACCTCCTTGATCAAATTTATTCATAAGTATTTTATTTTGGGGGGTGCAATTTTTAAAGGTATTTTTTTTTTATATTCCCTGATAGTTCATCATTGGTGAAAAGAAATGCAACCAATTTCTGTATGTTAATCTTGTATCCTGCTACCTTGTTGAGTTCGTTTATCATTTCTAGTAGTTTTTATGTGGAGTCTTTAGGGTTTTGTATATATAATATATTATCATCTGCATACAATAACAATTTGACCTCTTGCATTCCAGTTTGGATACCTTTTATTTCTTCTTCATGTTTGACTGCCGTGGTTAGGACTTCCAATAGTATGCTGAATAGAAGAAGTGCAAGTGGGTATCCTTGTCTTGCTCCAGATTTTAGTGGGAAAGCTTTGAGCTTTTCACCACTGAGTATTATATTGGCTATAGGTCTGTCATGAATAACTTTTATTATCTTGAGATATGTTCCCTCTATACCCACTTTTGTAAGAGTTTTAATCATGAATACATGTTGAATTTTGTCAAATGCTTTTTCTGCATCTATTGAGATGGTCATGTGGTTTTTGGCTTTTATGTGATGTACCACATTGACTGATTTGTGTATGTTGAACCATCCTTGTGAACTTGGGATGAATCCCAATTGGTTATGGTGTATGATCTTTTTATGTGTTGTTGGATTTGGTTTGCTAATATTTTGTTGATATAGTTCTCTCTTCTTATGGTAGCACTGACCATTTTTTGGAATGAGGGTGACACTAGCCTTATAAAATGAGAAGGGAAAGGTTCCCACCTCCATTATTTTATGTAATTAATTGTGTAGGCTTGGTAATATTTCCTCTTCAAATACTTGACAGAAGTAACCAGTGAAGCCATCTGGAATTGGAGTTTTTCTTCAGGAAAAATTTTTTACTCAAACTCAATACTGTTCATTGATATTGAGCTGTTCAAGTTTGCCAATGTTTTCTAGGGGTCAGTATCAGTAATTTGTGTCTTCCCTCTTTTTTCTATTTTTTCCTAACAATCTTCCAAGACATTTTTTGATTCTATTATTTCAAAGAAATAACTTTTGTTTATGGATTATTCCCTATTATTTTTCTGCTTTCTATTTAATTGAATTCTACTCTCTATTGTTTCCTTCTTTTGGATTACTCTGGGATTAATTTACTCTACTTTTCTACTTTCTTAAGATGGAAATTTAATGACTAGAGAACTTTCTTCTTTTCAAATACAAGCATTAGAGGTGATACATTTCTCTCTAAGCACCTTTTTGCATCTATGCTCATCAGTGATAGTCGTCTGTAATTTTTTTGTCTGATATTTTTGGTTTTGGTATCAGGGTGATGGTGGCCTCGTTGAACGAGTTTGGGAGTGATCCTCCCTCTGCAATTTTTTGGAAGAGTTTAAGAAGGATAGGTGTTAGCTCTTCTCTAAATATTTGATAGAATTCGCCAGTGAAGTGATCTGGTCCTAGACTTTTGTTTGTTGGAAGATTTTCAATCACAGTTTCAATTTCAGTACCTATGATTGGTCTGTTTATATTTTCTATTTCTTCCTGGTTCAGTCTTGGAATGTTGTACCTTTCCAGTAATTTGTCCATTTCTTCCAGGTTGTCCATTTTATTTGAACATAGTTGCTTATATTAGTCTCATGATCCTTTGTATTTCTGTGGTGTCAGTTGTAATTTCTGCTTTTTCATTTCTAACTTTATTGAGTCCTCTCCCTTTTTTTCTTGATGAGTCTGGCTAAAGGTTTATCAATTTTGTTTATCTTCTGAAAGAACCAACTTTTGTTTTTATTGATCTTTGCTATTGTTTTCTTCATTTCTATTTCATTTATTTCTGCTCTGATCTTTATGATTTCTTTCCCTTTGCTAATTTTGGGTTTCCTTTGTTCTTCTTTCTCTAGCTGCTTTAGGTGTAAGGTTAGATTGTTTATGTGAGATTTTTCTTGTTTCTTGAGGTGATATTCAATTGCTACATACTTCCCTCTTAGAAGTGCTTTTCTTGTGTTTTGGAAACAGTTTTGAGTCATTGTGTTTTTGTTGTCATTTGTTTCTATGTACTTTTTTTCTTTCCTCTTTGATTTCTTCAGTGATCTCTTAGTTTTCTAGCAGCGCACTGTTTAGCCTCCATGTGTTTGTGTTATTTACAGCTTTTTTCCTCTAACTGATTTCTAATCTCATAGCACTGTGGTCAAAAAAGATACTTGATATGATTTCAATTTCCGAGGCTTGATTTGTGACACAAGATGTGATCTATCTTGGAGAATGTTCCTTGTGCGCTTAAGCAGTATTCTACTGCTTTCGGGTGGAATGTCTTATAAATATCAATTAAATCTATGTGGTCTATTGTGTTATTTAAAGCTTCTGTTTCCTTATTTATTTTCTGTCTGGATGATCTGTCCATTGGTGTACATAAGGTGTTAAATTCCACCACTATTATCGTGTTACTGTTGATTTCCCCTTTTATGGCTGTTAGCATTTGCCTTATGTAGTGAGGTGCTCTTATGTTGGGTGCATAAATATTTATGATTATTATGTTTTCTTCTTGGATTAATCCCTTGATCATTATGTAGTGTCCTTCCATGTCTCTTGTAACAAGCCTTTATTTTAAAGTCTATTTTATCTGATACGAGTATTGCTACTACAGATTTCTTTTGATTTCCATTTGCATGGAATAGCTTTTTCCATCTCCTCACTTTCATTCTGTATGTATCCCTAAGTCTGAAGTGGATCTCTTGAAGACAGCATATATGGGTCCTGTTTTTGTATCCATTCAGCCAGTCTGTATCTTTTGGTTGGAGTATTAAATCC